TTCTTGCTCTGCTTGACGCAGCTCTACCACACATTCTCTGTGAACCCCTTGGCTCTGGAAATTACCAAGACACACTTACAGTTTCCAGCAGAAACAATAAAATCTACCCACACACATGCCAATTTTAGATAACCACGAGAACTATCAAATCGTCATCTCATCATCAGAAAGAAAAAAAGCCAAACAATGCCAAAACAGCATTTACCAAGAATGAGAACTATTTCACTTTTCTCTCTCAAAGTGATTTTAACCAGTATCCATGCTTCAGTCTGGTAGAGCTGTACAAGTCCCCAGTCATCGCAGGAAAGTTGGACTAAATGGCTTTCAAGGGTCCCTTGAAATGATTCTATGATTTGTCCCAGTGCTCCTTCCCTTCACCTACAGTTAAGCTATGAAGAAAATCACCAAATAACAGAAGAGAAATTAAAAGAAACTATTTTTAATATGGACAGGTTCAATATTCTGGATTACCACACAACTCCTCAAAGATCTGTGCCAATGAAGCTTGAAATCTTGCATGATGGTGTTCCATCCTTTGGACCATTTTTGTTGCTCTCCCCTGGGTGTGCTCCACCAGATCCACATCTCTTTTCTACTGAGGACTCCACATGAGGACATGGTACTCCAGGTGAGGCCTCACCCTGCTGACCACACTTCTTTTGATGCAGCCCAGGATATAGTTGGCAGTGTGTAAAGCCAGTTTCAGGGCAAAGTAACACAATCCAGAGAATTCTGTCTATCCAAATTTCCCCCTATTGAGGAGTGCACACAGATGGCAAGCCCAAGCTTCTGTGGGACAGTTTGGCGATGATCAGGAGGCAGAACTGTGCAAAACCAGGGCAGAAACACCCCTCTAATGTCAATTTTTCCATCTGTAATGCTGATTGATTCCCATCCCAACAGGAGTCCAAAATGGGAACAAAGGCCTCCCAGCCTCCATCCTGCACATAAGCTGATGTTTGCATTTTCACATCCTGCTTTCCTGAAGAGCATCTGCATGGCTTCACCCAACTCCCAAGGAGAGACCACAAAGCAACCACAACAAAATAAAGACCACACCTTTCCCAATTTTATCTTTACCACAACACACAGCAAGTGGAAAGCCTGGAATAGCCAATGCATTCCCAAGGAATGCAGTTTGGAAGACCCTGAGATAGGGCTGAGGGGGTCCAAAGGCATCAGGGTAGGGCTGAAGGGGTCTGAAGGAATTGGGGTGGCTGTCTGCAGGGGTTAGAGGGTCTGAAGGCCTTGGGGTGACTGTCTATAGGACTGACGGGGTCTGAAGGGCATGGGGTAGCTGTCTGAAGGACTTGAGGTGACTGTCTGTAGGGGTGCGGGGGATTGAAGGGCTTGAGATGGTTGCCTGTAGAGGTGAGAGGGTGTGAAGGCCTTGGGATGGTTGTCTGGAGGGGTGAAGGGGTCTGAAGGGCTTACGGTAGAGCTCAGGGGGTCTGAAGGGCATGGGGTGGCTGTCTGTAGAGGTGAGGGGACCTGAAAGCCTTGGGGTTGGGCTGAAGGGGTCTGATGGGCTTAGGATGGCTGCCTATAGGGCTCAGGGGGTCTGAAGGGCATGGAGTGGCTGTCTGTAGGGGTGAGGGGATCTGAAAGCATTGGGGTTGGGCTGAAGGGCTTAGGATGGCTGCTTATAGGGCTGAGGGGGTCTGAAGGGCTTAGGGTGGCTGTCTATAGGGGTGAAGGAGTCTGAAGGCCTT